GGACTACTTTCTCAAAAGCTGTGGGGTGATGTTGCCATTCAGCTGCTACAAGAAAAGAGAAAAAGGAATGCTTTTACATACCTTTTATCTGGACCCTGGCTTGAGTTAAGCCACTCTGCTTTTTTTTTATTTCTTTGCTTTTTTTTTTTCCTTTTTCTTTTAAATTGTTTTTCCCCCTTTTTTTTTTCCTCTTTTCCCCTTTCCCCTTCCTTTTCCTTTTCCTTTTCATTTTTTTAATTTCTTTCTCTCTTACTTTTTTAATTTCATTTTTCTTTTCTTTTAAGATAGGACACGTAGTGGATTCAAGTAGTAGTTAATCTTTAACATCGTACTTCCGTATCGCTGTCTCCTGGGTACATCCAAAAGCTGCTTACAAATAGAAGATTCTTGCAACTTTTACTATTTTTTTCCCTTTGCTGCTGAGTGGGATGGTTGAATAGCAAGCTGGACCTTCTAGCTTGCATATGGTCACAATAATATTTGTTTTTATTCCTGAGTGTCCCTTTTCGTCAATGTATGATGCAAAGAGTGCTGTTCATCTCTTAGGTTCTGTCTGTAAAGCTGATCGTCAGTGTCAGCAAGTGTAGGTATTTTGACCTCAGCGTTTAAAGAGACATGACCATGATACTAGTTTTTGTGTGTCAGTTCTTTTAGTAGGGACCTGCACTTTTACATTGTCAGTGTTCTAACAGACCTAACAGTGTAGATTGAGAGGATCTGAAGCAAGAAGCACCAGTAGATTGCAGCAAACATGCCAGAGGAGTTTGTACCATGCATACAAAAAATCCTGTAGAAACTATAAGCTTGTACAGTAAAGGGTTAACAGCTGACTGGTGAGTGTGGACTCTGTATCAGACAATAGAGAGGACATAGCTGAAATATTTGGCAAGCTTGTTTTTAATTGAAATATAAACAAAGCTGCTTTCATGATAAGTGCCTTTCAGATATATTTGTTTCTAGCCTGGGAATAGTTATGCAGCGTTTGCGTTCATTTTGCAGATTACATGCCTGGCTGCCTGTGGCTTTTCACTGTTAATCTTTTACATGTGTGAAAATTTGGATATGAAAAGAAATGCTGTATCTGTCAGCATTCAGTCAGTGGTCTTTCTGTCATGCAGCTTTCAGTGATGTAAAGGTAATAGTGACAATCCAAAGCTTGAAACAAAGAAGAGTCATGTCTTAGTTCATATCTTTAAGCAAGTGCCTAAGTGGTGGGAGGAGAGGACTTTGCTATGTATAAATGCTTTGGTTTAAGTCTTGTGCACATACTTGAGATTGCATAACAGTGGGAGAAGATTTTAAGTTATTTCATAATTAGCTCCCCGTCCCTTTCTGCCCCCAGGTTCTTTGTAACGGGAGTCCAATGACTCCCCTACACAGTCTGATACCAAGGGGACAAGTATAGAGGCACTGACGGAAATAAAAAAATATATATGGAATTAAGCCTGTGATCATAATCCCCATGCCTGCTGGGAATGCTTTATCCTCTCCTGTGTCGTAACAGAGTTGTCTCAACCTGTAGTATAACTGGGAGGCATCTGCAGGTTCACATACATAAATGAGATGTCAGTTGCACCTAAGACATATTGCCTTGCAGATGCAGCTCTCAGTAGATCCATTTGCTTTTAGTCTATGGAAAGTTGCATTACTGGGGAGGCTCAAGTGCTCATCAGGCATACAATGTTAGTTTGACCAACCCACGTTCAAGTAACCATTTTTGTTCCCTCAGATAATAGTTAAGACAAAGTATTACTTGTTTATTACATATTAAAATATTTGGTTATGGCTTAACATCAATCTTTATAATACTTGGGAGCACCACTGATTTCAGCAGGAATATGGCCTAAGACTGTGTTTATACCAGTGTGAGAGTGAATACAATATATCTGAACTATTACAGATTCAGATTTTCTTAGCTCTTCCCAACCACACCCATTTCTGTAGGCATTTCCTTTAAAGTTCACTTTAATGGCTGGCATAGATCTAATTAATGCTAGTTAAAGACATTTTGGTAGTTTTCTAATGCTTTCCTCATCCAGTTAAGTGGTTGCTCTGTACAGTATGTGTGCTATGTGAGGAATTCAAATGGTTTTCAGACAGAGCACTGTTTTGCAGGTTTTCTTATCTCAGGCATTTCTTTTAAGTACCTTCCATCATCCTGATTCGAATAATAGCAGAGACAGACTGTGCCATGAAAAGTATTGAAAAGATTTCTTTGGACTTGCTTCAGTGGAGGTCACAGAAATAGTGAGAATCTTCCTTCTTTTTACAGCATTAGAATGATTTCCTTATGGAAAAAATTAAGATTATTTTTAGTCTTTGTTGGGCTGGAGTTGTTCTCTATCTGTCTTTTTTGTTGTTGTTTTTCTTCTCCACATCAATCTTTTTATGTGTATCTAGTACTCTAGAGAGAGTAGAGACTATTTCATCTGTGGTCTCCTCATTGGTTCCAGTCTTGCAGATGTTGAGGTGATTGGAACTATTCGGGTGTATGAAGCTATTCAGATGCTTAAGCACATGCAGTATCATATTGCATGGCCTTCTCTGAGGTGGAAAATAGCGCAATTGAACATGAGCATATGTGAAAAGGTTTTGGATTGTTTTAGCGTATGCCAGAAAAATTAAATGACAAGCTCCATAGAGCTTGAGTAGTTATAGCAATGCACCTGTAAAGAAAAGGAATAAATTGTACCTTTATAAAACTCTTCAGTAGTAGGGATTTGAGGGAATAGTCCTGAGGGAAGTGGTGGATGAAGTTGCTAGGCCACTATATTTGAAAAGTCATGCCAGTCTGGTGAAATTCCCACTGTTTTGAGGAAAGGGAAAAAAGGAAGACTTGGGGAACTACAAGCCAGTCAGTCTTATCTCTCTGCCAAGCAAGATCATGGGACAGATCCTCCTGAAACTATGCTAAAGCACATGGAAAACAGAGAGGAGATTGGTGGCAGTCAGCATGGCTTCACTAAGGGCAAATCAAACCTGAAAAATTTGGTGGCCTTTTACGATGGTGTTACAGTGCTGGTGGAAAAGGGAAGAGCAACTGATGTCATCTACCTGTACTTCTGAAAAGCATTTCATATGGTCCTGTACAATATCCTTGATTATAAAAAGAAGAAACATGGATTTGAGGGATGGACCACTCAGTGTGTAAGGAATCAGCTGGAAGGTCTAACTGAGAGTTGTGGTCAATGGCTCAATGTCCAAGTGCAGAGATTGGTGATGAGTGGTGTCCCTCAGAGGTCTGTATCGGGACGAGTATTATCTAATGTATTTGTTGCTGACATGGATAGTGGGATTGAGTTCACCCTCAGGAATTTTGCAGATGACGCTAACCTGAGTGGTGCAGTTGACATGTTGGGTGGAAGAGATAGGGTGGGACCTTGACAGGCTGGAGGGTTGGGCTGACAGGAACCTCATGAAGATCAGCAAGGGCAAGTGCAGGTTTCTGCACCTAGGGAGGAATAGCCCTAAGCACCAACATAGGCTGGTGTGTGTGTGTCCTGTTAGAGTACAGCTCTGCAGAGAGGGACCTGAGAGTCCTGGTGGGCAGCAGGCTGACAACGAGTCAGCAATGTGCCCTTGTGGACAAGAAGGCCAATGATATTCTGGGCTGCATTTGGAAGAGTGTTGCCGGTAGGTCAAGGGAGGTGACCCTCCCCCTCTACTCAGCCATGGTGAGGCCACACCTGGAGTATCGCGCCCAGTTCTGGGCTCCCCAGGACAAGAGGGATGTATAACTACTGGAGCGAGTTCAGAGGAGGGCTACGAAGATGATGAGAGGAATGGAGCTCCTGTCGTACGAGGACAGGCTGAGAGAACTGTGTCTGTATAGCCTGGAAAAGGGAAGACCGAGGGGAGACCTCATTAATGTATATAAATATCTGAAGGGAGGGTGTCGAGAGGATGGCGCCGATCTCTTTTCACTTTTGCCCAGTGAGAGGACAAGAGGCAACAGACACAAACTGAAGCACAGGAGGTTCTGGCTGAATATGAGAGGGCAATTCTTTCTTGTGAGGGTGACAGAACATTGGAACAGGTTGCCCAGAGAAGTTGTGGAGTCTCCTTCTCTGGAGATATTCAAAACCCGCCTGGATGCCATCCTGCGTAATATGCTTGAGGTGATCCTGCTCAGCAGGGGATTGGATTAGATAGTCTTCAGAGGTCCCTTCCAACCCTACCTACTCTGTGATTCCATGATTCTGAGATGCCATCCAGAGGGGCCTTGACAGTTTTGAGAGATTGGCCTGTGCAAACCTCCTGAAAGTCAACAAGGCCAAGTGCAAAGTCCTGTGCCTGTGTTGGGGCAATCCCAAACATGAATAAAGACTGGTCTTAAGGAGCCTCTCCCAGTTGTCATGACCTTTCAAAAGTTATCAGGAGTGGCCTTGCAGTGGCATTGGCCTTGCAATGGTATCAGCCTCCTCCCTCAGCTCTAGAGGGAACTACCATCAGGCCCCAGTGGGCTTGCATATATCCAGTTTGTTAAATGCTCCCTTGCCTGGTCCTTCTTATCTAAGGCAGTCTTCCTTGATCCAGACTTTCTCTATATCTCAGGGACTTGAGATTCCCGAGGCTGGGCTTACTGGGAAAGATCGGGGTGAAGAAGACATTGAGTATCTTGGCCTTTCCTGTCATTTGCCACTGAGTGCCCTGCCCCATTCAGCAGTGGGCTGAAGTTTGGGCTGAAATAAACCTCCAGTTTTTTTATCACTTCTCGGTTTAAGTGCATGCTGTATATAGTTAGGTAGGACACTTGAACAGACATTTCTGTCTTAACACTGGGCTGTGGAATGCAGAACAACTTGCCTCTGCCATTTGTTTTCCTGCTGGATGTTTTCAGCAATCAGTGTTGTGAAATAAAATGTTACTGTTTAAAACGTAAAAAATAGTTTTATTAAAAGAAAAATTGGTCATTTTATAAACACTTTCAGGCAGTACAAGGCCTGTAAAAATGTGAGTTGTTTTTCAATTTGTCTTGTACTTTGTTTCCTTTCTTGCAGAATCTCAAAGTTACAAAGAAGCCCTTAACCACTCTATGATAATGTCTGACAGCACCATGGGTGCTAACCCTGCTTTGATGAGGTCCAACATGCAGATGGATCCTTCCTTTCAGCGGTGTTTAGCATCTTCATGTACTGCTTCAAGTAACAGTTCTATCCCGGTGGGAGAAAGGTAGGAAAAGATTCTCTGACCTGTTTAGTTCTCATTATTGTGATTGCCAGCAAAGATGTTATTCTTGCTTGTTCACTGCAGAGCATTTGTACAAGAACTTTTGAGTCTTGTGATATGTGATTATGTTGTTGCCCACCATCTGGAAGTTAACACATCCACAGATGTTTTTTATATGTCTGAGAGGCACACGTGGTTTTAAAGAAAATCTAGGAATACAAAAATGAATAGGGACTATAAGTGGTCAGTCATGAACAATTACTTCTATTTACTTATTAGAAGGGGTGTTTTATTACAGCTGATAATGTTTCCTTCTCTATCACTCTGCAACAACATTCTTTTGTGGCTAACTGACCTTTTCATGGATAATTGGTTCCTTTTTCACAGTAAGTAAGTATTTGGAATGCTGTTGGTTGATGTGTCAAACTCTCAGTAAGGACTTAAGTGTGTTGATTTCTATATGTTTTCCTATCTAATTAATTTCATTTTGAGTCAGTACTTGGACTGTGAAAGAAGTTTCCTGTTGTAATTACGACTGTGAATCATAATAATCTTGTTAGGGGATCCTGTTGTTTCCCCTAGCAAAATGGGTTGCACCAGGCATCCAGAACTCACTCAAAGTGTTGATTCATATTTAAAGTAGTGAGAATTTAATGGTACACATATATCAGCTTGAGCTGGGTGCCTCCAAGGAGGGACCCCACTCAAGACTTTACTTGGATTCTTACACCCATACAATCTTAATTTTGTCCACTATGGTCCAATCAGTTCTTCACACATATACATTATGTTACTTCAGACTGGCAATTCTTTGTTGCAGAGCATGATGTCTCTTCTCTTATCTCCTGGGGCACGGTCTCATTCTGCTATGTCCTTGGTCAGCACATCCCCACCCCCCAACCACACAAAATGTTGCTCAATCACCACTACATAACAGGTTCAGGTTATGGGAGCTCATACTGCAGCCTAAGGCTTCACCAGATTTGCCCGACTAATGTCAAACAATAGCTACCTGAGTTCCTTACATGCCAGTAGCTTGTTTCCCTTTTGCTCTGTATCAAGTATGTTAGTATTTTCTGAGGAGAAGCCAATTTGACATTTAATTATAAGTGGATATGAATTACAAGCTTATCAGGCAATGCAGTCATTATCAAGCTTGCATTCCTTCCTTAAACTTTATCTAGAATTTTTTGTTCCCTTCTTTTTAGGCGTTTTATTTTTTCTGTTGCTTTTCATTTCATCTAGCTGATAACTGCAGCTTGTGTTTTTTTTCTTTCTTTTGGAATGGTTCCTTTCCGCCCTTTGCTTCCCTTCCATTTTTTGATGGTCCTCCTACTTGGATCTGTTCAAATCTACTGGTATCCATTTCCACAGTTCACTTTTAATTAAAACTTTCTTTATAATTTTTAAAATATTTTTTTATTTTTTATAATTTTTATGCCAGTTCCTTTCACTTTCTATCTCAAAATGGGTTTGTTCTCTCTTTACATATGATATTGCTGATAATGTTTTTCAGCCAAAATTAAAGGGGCATCTCACTTTCAGAAGAAAGAAGCCAATTTAAACTTTCATCAGATGGTTTTGTCAGAAGCATGGCCTGTGGTGTTTAGAAGGATATTCGTTATCCTTCACTTGGGCAGGTGGAACTCTTGACCAGTAGAATAATACAATGTTTACTGTTGTCTATATAAATAATAAATATATAAATACTTAACATTTAAGTTCATCAATCAAACAGAAGCTTGGAAAAGTGTTTCTTGTACTCTGTATTGTTTTATGTTTGTTGTTTCCATATGCAAAAATTAACCACTGGACCTGCTTCTCTTCTGCTTGCAATATAAATTTTATTAGAAAGGGACCTGATCTAACAGTTGAGTTTTGTGGAATGTGTTCTTACCATGCTTATTCACTTATTGTGTGATGGTGAACAACTCTGTCCTTAGCTCTTGTCTTGCATTCTTTCCCTTTTCCCCTTTTTCTCTTCCCTCTTTCCCCTTTCCCTTTCTCCCCCCCCTTTTTTTAAAATGAACATAAGAGACTCTGCATGTAAGATCTGTTGTGGTAGTATCAGTTTTGTTCCATAAACTTTTGTCATTGCCTTTGATGACAGCCTTGGCTTAACAGCCTCCTACTGCTCTTTTTCAGCCAGTGCTGTAAGTTACCATATGGAGGTTCTCCAGGACCTCTGTCTGTGAAGCAATGTTGTACACAGTCTCACTGAATCAATTCATATTAAAAGTAACTCTCTCAATTAGGAGGCAGGAATATTTATAACAGTGCTGAATTTGGTGGCCTGACTTACAGTACAAGCTCAGATATGGTGTCATCAGCATTGCTGAATGGAGGGTGAGATAAGGCAGAAATTAATGAACTACATTGAAGAAGTGAATGATCAGGGTGGGGCTGAAGACCCTTGTTCCAGCTGTATTGCCAAATCTTTCTTGTTGTCAAAGTGTACCTCAGTGAGCACAGTATGGACTGGGTAGTGACTTTTTAGGAAAATTATTTGGCTGTTTTGTTATTTTTGTGTTCGATTTTTTTTTTTGACAGCTCTCCTACAAAAGAATGTCATTGGCTTGAAAGCAGCCCTAAATCTTCCCCATCGCTCCAGCTTTCAATGGGAAATAACAGGCCAACAGGAAGTTACCTTGTGCCTTCGGAATTTTCACACCCTGTGCAAGATGGTTCTCTCTTGTCTCATTTCCAAACCCCAGGACTGCAAGTTGTCACCCGGAGCAGCCTGGAGAAATCACCAATGGAGCAGCAACAAGAACCTGCTAACAGTTGCAGTGCCCGGGCCTACCGGAACTACAGTGGGGGCAACATGGTCTGTAGCTCCCCTCCAGAGGAGAAACAAGCTACTTTCATAGCCAACACTAGCATCTCTCCTAAAACCATGAGCTCATCAGTGGCAAGTGCAGAGGACAATGTCTTTTTGGAACACAACTTTCTTACAGTGGCCTCTGGACACAATAGTCAAAACAATGCGGTTCATCAGCACCTTGGAGGGAACCTACATTCTCAACCACCTCTTCCAGAGAAAAAGAGGTCCTCTGAAGAGGACCGTTCCTTCACCTCTGTCTCACCTTCTTCAAGTGGCTTCTCTAGCCCCCACAGTGGAAGTACAATCAGCATCCCATTCCCAAACATCCTCCCAGATTTCTCAAAAATTTTAAGCACTTCCCCCGTGCAAGGTAGGTTCTGCATCAGAGAAATGCAAAATACTTCTGAGTTGTATGAGTTTACCTCCCATTTAGGGGATTTTTAAAATGAGGAGGGGGAAAAAAACACCAGAATAAAAATGGCAGAAAGGACTTGAATGCTTGCAATAAGAGGCACCGTTTCATTGGTTTTAGATGTATTATTCTGAGGACAGTGCTGCAGAACTGTTTCTGCCCTTCCTTAATTGTCAGCCAGGGGTAGCCCACCTTTTGAGCTGTGAAACCACAAACAAGGAGTATGCAGTCCAACCTCTCTTAATAAAGGCTAGTTTCTTTGCGCATCTTTGCTATATTCATGTCAAGAATAGTTACAAATGTTGATATGTATTCACTGGGTCCCACTGAAAAACTTTATATTTGGTGTAGCTTTATAAATGTAAAAGTTTTTCATATTCTGTAGATTTTGTAAAATTAAGCTTTAAGAGGGCTTTTGGAGTCTTAACGTATGGTTCTAAAACAGTTCAAAGTTCCTCTCTGTTGTCCTTCTAATCATGAGTTTTTAGAATTATTAATGTGGTTGGAAGTTAAAAAGAAAGGCAAAAAATGCCTCTATATTTAGAAAATTTCTTAACTTCTCTTTCCCCTTTTATTTTATAGAAAACACAACGGATAAACACGTGACTGTGAAATTTGTCCAGGACACATCCAAGTTCTGGTATAAACCAGATATTTCAAGAGAACAAGGTATAACAATTGATGTATATTCTGAGGCATATACTTGCAGAAAGGCTAGTTGGTGAATGTGTCTTATTTTTTTTTATGACTACCAGACATCTAAAATAATTACAGAAAGAAATACAAAATCTATAAGGGCTGAAGACAACTTCAATTTATTTTGTCCAAAGGCAGAGTTTGAGAGTGGAGGGGATTCAAATATTTCAGACAAATTATTATCCTAACTTGAATAACTACATAGTAATTTGAGTATTCCTGTGGTGGCTCCTGCAAAAGTGCTTTACTGAGAAACTAATTTGTCTGTTGCCTTCTCACAACGATGGAAGTTGTTTTAAGGTATGCTGAAAGAAAATCTGAGCAGAATATGTTATATTAATGCAATCTAATATTATGGTGAGTCTTCACCAGTGTGCCTGGCAAAGCTGTTTTGGCCTCCGGAGTTTGGAATAGCAAGCATGCATGATGCAATAACAAACAACTGCTGCTCTCAGAAACCATTTGAGTACAAATGTGATGCTCTGGCATAATTTCAGCCACGTGTGTTGCCCTGTGTAGATAGGTTGAGAGCAATCCTCGTCTACCAGTTGTTCTGTAGCCTAAATTTCACTTTCAGCTGCAAGTGACATACATTATTTCTTAAAGATCACAAAATAACACTCCTATGGAATAACATCTTTATGATGTACAATGTAGATACATCTATATGTAGATATATTACTGAATGAGAGGGGAAAGTTTTTGTTACATATGTGAAAATGTATACATGGAAACTTATACTTTGACCCTGCATCAATACGTAAATAAAGTATTTTGGATGCTTTGTAAATGCAGTCAGTCTGACTGACCATCCTTGTGTCTGTACTGTAATATTGGGCTATAGTGAATAGCATTTAGTAAGCTATTGAAAGCATTTTAATCTGGGATTCTTAAAATGAAGTTGTTGAAAAGGAAAATGTCAAAGCAGTTCTGCATTGGGAAGGAATTTTACATCATCAGACTTGGAACTAAAACCAAATAGCTTTCAGCTATTGGCAGATGATGAATTGCAGTGTCTGTCTAGGTCATATTTTCTCAGACTGTGAGGATGCCCCTTATAGTGTGGTGGTAAATATGAGCCTAGGAGGATAAAGGTCATAGAAAATGGATTATTTATTCACCTCTGGATCATGTTTCACTGTTTGTTTCATTTCACTCTCCTTCCCGTTTTCTGCTCCCCACCCATAATGAGCACTGAGTGCTCTGCAAATGGGCAGAAACAGTTTCCTGTCTTGATGTGGATTTAAAGAGGAGACTAGATCATAAAGGAATTTTAAACCTAGATGCATGAACAAATGAAAACAATTATCTTACCAGCTTTGTAGTATGCCTCTTTTCCAATTAAAATCCATTTTTAAAAGTGAGGTTAAGATTTTTGGTTATTAGATTTCATTCTGTAGCAGACTTATGCCAAACGAGCAGTTTTCTTGCAAATGATTTCTAGGAAGACTTCGTATCATGCTTCAAGCAGAGATCACAGACTATAGATGTAAAGTGTTTCACTGATTGGACATTTGAAGAGCAAATACCCACTTTCATCCCGTTTTGCTTTAAAACACATAATAGAGTGAGAGTACTTTGCAGAGACAGAAACATTGTAGATGAGAACTGATGGCCTCTGACTATTAAAGCTACATAAGAAAAGAAATACACTGTTGTCTGTTCAGCCTGGGAATTAAAATGCTGTGCTCTCTGTCATGATTCTAACAATTTGACAATATGTAAACAGGAATCAGCTTGCCCTTTTTTCTTAAAAAGAAACAACATGGGGCCAGGAAAATTGGGAATAGGGCCACATTTTCTTTGCCTGGGCTGTGTGTGCACATGCACGTAGTTGAGGTGTAGTTTTTGTCATTTTGCTCTTATTTTGCTGCATTTCCTTTGGTATGGTCACTGAGATCAGAAAAAAAAAAAGAAAGGGACAAAAACCATATTTAATCTCTTCACCTTTTAGTACTTTTTCCAAGTATAATTGTCAGATATATTTTTTTTTTTTAGTTTAGTGTGTGGTATTTATTTTTTGGTTTGGTTTGGTTTTACTTTTTTAAGGGAGGGTTGTCTGCCATGAACTTACACCTAAAATTTCATTTGGAGCTCACATCAGCACTGTCAGCTTGAAGCTGCATTTGCATTGCCAGAAAGTTCATATGTGGCTATCAGTATCGCCTATGATCATCAGTATCAGACTTGATTACCTAGGTCAGTACTGCAACAGTAGTTGTTAACTAACGTTTGCTCGGTATTCTTGAAAAAAGGAAAAGCATGTAGCAAATGAAAAATCATGCACAGACCTTTGGTGTTTATTCAGATTCCATCTTCAATTTTGTTGTATCATTTCTCTTGTATCATTCACAGCTCCAAGTGATCCCAACTACATGTGTGCAGGCACTGACCTGAGGCACAGATTTAAGCTACTGTGTAAAAATCAACTTAAGCTACTGTGTAAAAATCAGTTGTAGCCTAGTGGGTGGTAGAAATCTGTTGACTTGTCAATGTAACAGCAGTTTACCACTACTCAGCATTTTCTTCTGGAAGCACTGATTGCATGAACCCTGGTAGAACCTACATCTTTCACAGTTAAAAAAAGTCACTAGGGATCTGTATTTCAGGCTTCCTTTGAAATAAGTATCCATGAAATTCACATGAGATGTTTTTAGTCAGATCCCCCCAAATATGTTCAATTATAGTCTCTTCTACAGCAGTGGAGACGTATAAAGGATCTTATTTTCTTTACTCTCCTTTTAATTATAGATTTGCACCTGTAATTTTTGAGTGTGTGTATTGTTTTGGAAATGTTTTTCTCTCTTTTCTAAAATTCTTTACAGCCATTGCTGTTCTCAAGGACAAGGAGCCTGGGTCATTTATTGTTCGAGACAGTCATTCTTTCCGGGGAGCCTATGGGCTAGCAATGAAAGTTGCTACACCACCTCCTTCTGTTCTGCAGTTAAATAAGAAAGGTACTGTATGCCTTCTATCTGTCCTTTAACAAACCACACGTTAGGAAGTCTGTATTACTGCGTGTTAATCTGTAGGAATCTTCCTACTTACAGTAAGTGCAACTTGAATTACAGGCTCCATTTAGTTCCTGGCACTAGTATCTTATTGAATGGGACTGGATAAGATGTTTGTTCTTCAGTTTGACCATGGCTTGTGAATGTATGTATATTGTGGCAGCACGTGTATCATACCTTACCAACCTGACAGAAAAACCGTCATCTCTGTAATGGGTCCTCCCTAGCAATTAGAAGTCTGTGTTTCATCCTCATACGATCATGCAGAGCTTTCACTTGGCTGGGATGTTGAATATTTTTGACCCCAGGATTTTGTTTTGAGACAGTTCAACGTTAGAGAAAAATCTTAGGAGGTTCCCTAAGGAAAGATGATAGTTGTTTAAAAGAAGTGATGAAATACGTATATTCTCCCAGCTCCATTGCCTCCATATATAACTTGTGCCTGATAGTTGTGAAAGCTAAAATGAAAAGAACACATGGAAAGCATAAATCAATCTATAGAATCTCAGTAAGCAGTATCTGTAGTGTTCTTGGCTCATTGGTGCTACTAGAAAGGAAATGGGGTGAGGAATTGGGGTGATTTTCATTGCCGGGGGGGGGATAAGCAACATAGATCACAGGAAAGCAGTGAATCTTAGTGTGGAAGTGTGCTTTGCTCTTTCTTTTTTTTCTTTTTGCTAAGATTTAAAGCTTACTCAGAGACAAGTGGGGGCCTTGGCAATCCGCTTGTATTACAATAACATTTTTGAATTCTCTACACTTCATATGTTGAGATTTCTTGTAAAAAATTGTCATATAATACTTCTTTTTGTTGTCAAGCAACCTCAACAGAACCACTGCAGTGTCTAATTTGAGGTAAACGGTAGGGGTGCACTGGTGATAGCAACTGCAAGGAGGCAAATGGAATAGCTGTAGGTGTTATTAATCTCTTCTCATAAGATCAATGAAATCCAGGAAGACATGAAAGTTCAAACTCTACTAGTGTTTAAGAGCCAGTTTATGTTAGTTGTACTACAGGTAAGTGGTAGCAAAAGAAAATTGTAATCAAGACTCTAGTATTCTTCCAGTTTACCCTCAGTGATATTTAGCTTTGATTCCAACTGCTTCATCCTGGAGGGCACGAATTTGTTCAGTCTCATAGAATCATAGTTTGGAAAAGACCTCCAAGATCAACTAGTCCAACTGTCCCCCTACCAACCGGTATTACCCACTAAATCATGCCCCTAAGTACCACATCCAGCCTTTCCTCAAACACCCCTAGGAATGGTGACGCCACCACCTCCCTGGGCAACCCATTCCACTGCTTAACTACTCTTTTTATATTCGTTTATTCTTAATATTGTATGAAAATAATGGCAAGTGGTAAGCTGCTTGAAATGGTAACTCTGCAGTACTTGCTTGCATTTAAGTTTCTGCTGTCCAGATTAATGTGTTCATCTATATTAGTCTGAAAGTGAGCCTTTGAGGTTATGTGTTCACTGGACAGTCAGATGGCTGATACAATCAGATTCAAAGGCAGCATTTATTCATAGCTCTTCTGTTGAGGTTTGAATGATTTGGCAGCTTTGCTCTGTTGCTATAAACTAAACCTTTCATTGCTTGGAAAGAGCTCCAGTTTGTAGGCAGGTGTGAAATACCATGAACTAGTCCTTCAAGAGATAGTGAAGTTGTCTTAATTATATGTATGCAAATTAATGTATATGCTTAAAAGAATGGTAAATCTCAAGGGAATTTTTATTCTTTAAATCTCTTCAGTATATCCCACTTAAAATTTCAAGATTTGTCTTAGAGCCTTGGGACATAAAAACTGTATTTAAATGAGATACTGTAAAAACTGTATTTTAATGAGATACAAAAACCTGAGTATTTCATATAATTGCCATAATTCATGTAATTGCCTTAGGAACAAAGGTTTGGAGTAAAACTGAAAACATTTTAAAACTTAAAAATTCATTGAGAGACTTGGCATCATTATGCATGTACAGCTAAATCTTCTATTGTTTTGATCTGGAAAGTTCTGTGAGAAATTTTCAGTCCTATCACTAGAAATGTGAGTATTTTGTCATGCTTTTACTCCCTTGTCACATTGGATACAAGTTCTTCTAATTCGCAAGTACACCAGAATTTCTAGCCATTAGTTTTCCAAATTCATATTCCTCTCTGTAGCTGGGACACCATTGCATATTTGGATGTCAGTCCATAATAATACTAAAAGATTTTCCACTGAATATCTAAAGTGAGCTATCTGCTTGTTTGATTTTTTTCCCCAGAATTCTCTTTTTACTACATCTTGTAATCTTGCAGCAGAGCAGCTCTAATGTGTTTGGCATGCTTTGTATAAAACATTTGGTGTTAATGTGGAAAACTGCTTCATAAAGACCTGCTAATTTATGAGACTACTCTGTTCCTTGCTTCTCTTCATGCCCTTTCTTGTTCTTTTTTAACACAGTTGGAGATTTGTCGAATGAGCTTGTAAGGCATTTTCTGATTGAATGCACTCAGAAGGGGGTGCGCTTGAAAGGATGCCCAAATGAACCATACTTTGGTAAGTACTGTGCATCACAGGGACACAGAAATTGGAAATAGTTTGTGTTTGACAGAGATGTTTTACAGACTTCAGTGGAGTGGAGATGAGAGAATACTTTGCTCAAGTCTTAAAGATTTCTGTAGGAATCCATTCCAGGGTTGTTGTAATAGCAGCCTTGTACACATTTACCTTAAGAATATGTGCAGGACACTCTGGCACTTCAAGCTTCCAGCTGTCACACTTATCAACCACTACCAACATTGCTGCAGATAGCTTTGTGTGGTGGTTTTACTCAGGTGTGCAGCTGAGTAAAACAGCTGCTCCGCTCCCCATCCTCAAAGGAAAAGGGGAGAAAATATGATGAAAAGGGCTCAAGGGTTGAGATAAGGGTAAGGAGATTACTTAATAATTATCGTCACAGACAAAACAGACTCAACATAGGGGGATTAGTCAAATTTATTGTCTATTACTAACAGGCTAGAGAAGTGAAGAAACAAAGAAACCAAAAACACCTTCTCCCCTCCTCCAGCCTCTTCCACATCCCCACCCTGAGTAGCACAGGGAAACACGAGAATGGGTGTTGTGGTCAGTCTATAGCACTTTGCCTCTGCTGCTCCTTCACGGTCACTCTGCCCCTGCTCTAATGTGGGATCCCTCGCACGGGATGCAGTCCTCCCCAAACCAATCCTGCGGGGGCTGCCCACAGGCAGCAGCTCTTCAAGAACTGCTCCAAATATGGGTCTATACCATGGGGTCCATCCGTCAGGATCAAACTGCTCCAACATGGGTCCCCCACGAGCAGCAGCTCCTGCCAGGTCACCTGCTCCTGTGTGGTCCCCTCTTCATGGGCTGCAGGTTCATCCCAGTGTCTGGTCTAGTGGGGGTTCTCCACAGGCTGCAGCCTCCTTCAGGTCAGATCCACCTGCTCCACTGTGGTTTCCTCCACGGGCTGCAGTGTGGAAATTTGCTCCACTGTGGCACACCATGGGCTGCAGGGGGACAGCCTGCTTCACCATGGTCCTCTCCACAGGCTGCAGGGGAACTTCTGCTGCGTGCGTGGAGCACCTCCTGCCGTCCTTCTTCACTGACCTTGGGGTCTGCAAGGCTGTTTCTCATGCCTTACTCTTCCAGCTGCTGTTGTGCAGCAGCTTTTTTTTTTTTTTTTCTTTTCTTTTTTCTTTTTCTCCCTTTCTTAAATATGCTCTCACAGATGAACAATCAACATTGCTTATGGGCTCAGCAATGTGCAGCAGTGGGTCCCTTTGGAGCTGGCTGGAGCTGGCTCTTATCTCACACGGGGCAGCTTCTGTATTCTTCTCACAGAAGTCGCACCTACAGTCCCCTGCTACCAAAGCCTTGCCACGTAAACCCACTAAGCTAGATGAATTTTGAGGGCCTTATTTATTCAGGACCTTTGCCTTATTTTGACCTGTACTATATTTATACAGTATAGCTAAAATGACAACAGAGTGGGACGTTCACATAAGAAAAAGTGCATTATAGCATTTCAGCCTATGTAATATAATACAATAAAAGCTCATTACGCATTATAGTAAACAGCAGAATCCAGCTGCTCACTCATCCCTCCTCCTCAGTTGGACAGGAGAGGTAAATAGGATTACAAAGCTTGTATGTCAAGATGCAGACAGGAAGATTGCTTACCAGTTACTACAGTGAGAAAACAGGTGTGAGTTGGGGGAAATGGATTTAGTTTATTGCCAGTACATTCACGTAGTGAGAAACAAAAACAAACATTGAAATAACACTTTTCCTTCTGCCCTTTCTAAACTCAGTTTTGCTTTTTCATCCCACATTCCTCAACTCCCGTCCTACCCCAGGTGGAACAGGAGGGGATGGGGTTGGAATTTGGCCAGTACCTTTTCCCATTCTCAATTGACCTCAATAGGTCAATTCCTCTTTGCTACTTCTGCCATTTCCCACTTTTCACCTGCTGGATCATGGGTTCTTCTCATGGGCTGCCATCCTTCAGGAAAATAAAATCTGCTTCAATATGAGCTCTCCATAGGCTGCACTTCCTTCAGGAAATACCCACTTGCTCTGGTGTGGGGTCATCCATGGATGGCAGTGTGGTGGATGTCAGTCAGACCAGGCATATGGAGCAGCACCTTCTCTTCCTTCTCTGACCTTGGTCTTCCTTCTGCTGTATTGCACTCCTTTTGTTCTCTCCTTGCCTCTTTGCAGCTCTTTTTGCCCTTTCTTAAATACATTTCTGCAGAGGTGCCAACAGCTTGGCTGAGGGACTCATCCATGCCCTGTTGTGGGGCCATTGGAGCCAGCTGGAACTGGCATGGGGCAGCTCTGGCCTCTCCTCGTGCCCTCCTCTGCTACCAAACCTTACCATTTACAACCAATGTATTTGTGAAGGAATTTTCTACCATAAAACGTGCAAGTGTAAAATGACTAATTCTATTTGAAGTAAAGATGTATTGAATTTTGTCAGGGTATATGGTCTTACATGCTAATGATGAGGATGACTAACAGTTATTTTAATTGAAGCTAAGTCTGAATGGTAAAAGTCGTTAAAAAACATCAAAGTTTATGGCAGTAATTAAAAGAAAGAATTTAATAGAGAATATTATGTATATCAGTGTTGCATCGGGTGGGGGAGCTTTTGTCTAGGCAATCTTTTATACTGTTATAAATATACAATAGAGGCACATGTAGCCAAAGCACTAGACAACAGAAGCTGGGTGGCTAAGAAGTAGAGCTCCTCACTCTTTCACTTCTTCATCGCATAGCATTGACCCCTTGCGCTCTTACTTTCTTCACAAGGTTTTACTATATTTGCTACATTAAACTGTAGCAGAAATTAAGAGCATTGAAAGGAATTTACTGACATCCATATGTTATTGTTTGTATCATCTTTGCACTTTTTCCATTTGAAGCAGACATTTAGATTAGGATTTCAGTAATACATCTAAGCAAAGAAAGGGACTGTATGATTGTGATTAATGACTTTAGTTAAGTACATACAACTGGGACAGCGCTGGGGAACACAAATCCACTTAAGCTGAGCAAAAAAGATCTTGGCTTAGGTGCCAAGAAAGTATTTTTAAGGGAAACTTGTGTATGTGTGTGTGAAGGGGGATGGGGGCTTGGTTGATAAAATGTTTGGAAGCCAGCATAACTGTTAAGTGTTATTTTTGTCCACCAAGTTAATCTTTTATATCTTGTTAATTTCTGACCACAGGGAGTTTGACGGCTCTGGTGTACCAGCATTCCATTACTCCACTGGCATTGCCCTGTAAGCTCCTCATCCCAGACAGAGGTATGCTTATTATAGTACAGAAGAGATGCTCAGCCAAGGCTTTGCTTCAAAGTTGTGAGCAGACTAGTACTGCGATGTTCCAATCATTATCATACGAGAGTCACAGAATTTAGCACAGTAATCTATCATGTAGGAAGACAAATGTATTTCTCAGATATAAAATTGCACCTCTGTGAGGTTAGATGTAATCACCTGAGGTTAGATGTTACCACCCGGGGCTTCAGGGAACTCAAGTGGGTGAAGGACAAAGTTCTGTGTATGATGCTGGCAGGAAGGAAGTAGCAGTTTACCCAGGTCCAAATATTGTTTAAGTAAATAATCAAGGAGCCTGTATTGCATCATGGGACTGTAATTCTAATTTTGGTAATGATGATTTCATAAACCACTCTTAAGACCACAGCAGAATACACCTATGCTTTCCGCATAATTCAGTCTGCTATTTTCCCACATGAAGTTAACACCAGATGTATTATTGAAATGTGAAACATCCTTGCTGTTTTCTATTGAACTCTTCAAGCTTTTGTTAAAGATCATATGTCAGTGCTCCAACACAGCATTGACTCATGCAAATATATTAATGAAATCTTTTAGCGTAAAAGTGTGCAGTGGTACGTATGTGCAGAGATCTCTCTGTAAGGCTTGTTCTTGTCCTCCTTGGCTCTTACTGTTCTGGCAGAGGTATAGAACTGAAACTTTTGCCTTGTCCTGGATATCTTCCTCATTTGAATGTATTCAAAGTCAGTATATGTAATGTTAAATACAGCACTGGGAGATGTTTTACACACTTTTATATAATTGAAATAGCATACAGATGTACAGTTTTCTCACTAATTTTAACAGAAGATTTAAAGGCAAGTATTCTACTGCTGCCTTTACAGTTTAGATATTTGCGTTCTATGTAAGAATGAAGAAAAAAGAATGATGTTGTTGTCTTCCGAATCAAAAGACAATTAATTTATTTAATCTCGGAAACAAACTGTGTACCTGAATTACTGTGAAATATACAAATTACATAATTAAAATCTCACTATTTTGAAAACTTCAAGGTTGTTATGAGGCAATATAGTTCTTAATAGTTTTTTTTAATGTGGTAGCACTTCTGTACCTCTGGCATATCTATGTAATTGTGTCTGTGACTATTAGGAAATAAATGTTGAACATCTCTCCTGCAGCACTGGGCATAAAAAATGATGCAGCACAAAAACAAAACAAAAACAACAAACAAACAAACAAAAACAACAACAAAGCCACATGGCATGTGTGGTTATAGATGCAGATACAAGATTGTTTAATGTTTCTGGCCAAGACTTATCTAGTACATGAAATCACATTTACAAAAGCTAGACTCATATTTGACCATGTGCATTACTTGTCTATTCAAGTGCAAACATGGATAGTGTTTTCTGTTCTCAGATCCATTGGAAGAGATAGCAGAAACTTCTCCACAGACTGCTGCAAACTCAGCAACAGAACTTCTCAAACAGGGTGCAGGTTGGTAAACTTTCTCCTTGCATTTGACTGTCACTAAGTGTTATATTTTAGAGGCTGGGAAAAACTGATGCTAAGACTGGACTGAAGGATGATTAAAGAGAACGGTTATATTTAATGTTCTGTGCAGAAGTGTAAAGGGCACTGTGAGGATATGTACAAAGTTCCTTCTCTTTTCTGCAACTGCCTTCTCAGTTGTACAACCTTGTATCTGCTTTCCCATTGCGTGTCCCATGACAATCTGAGGTACTCTTTGGTTCGTTCCAGCACAGCAATTTGGAAGCAGTGACATTAATTTCATAGTGATAAACTTTGAGAAGATTTTTTCAACCTGCATTCTGTAAAAGTTCGTGAACTATGAGGTCTGCAAATGGCAACAAATGAAAGTGTTCAGTAGGGTTAGAATAGGGTTAAAGTTAGAAGTAAAAAACACTACTGAAAAATGCTTATCCACCAATAAATCTGAAACAAACAAACAGAAAAACCAAAACCATTGCCATGTGCTTGATGATGTGTGCTGTTAGGAAATAACCAGTACCTTTTCCACTGGATGCTGTTTTATGGATTCTTATGCATACTGCAGTATCCGTTCTGCAAATTAAGTTGTATTACCACGATTTTATTGATATAACAGAAGAGCCCTGAAAAAGTTTCCACCAAATGGTGTGATTCAGGGGACATGGCACTAGGGGACATGGTTTAGTGGGTGGTATTGGTAGTAGGGTGATGGTTGGACCAGATGATCTTGAAGGTCTCTTCTAACCTTAATGATTCTATGATTCTATGATCTAGTCCCATTACAGCAGGCGAATACACTATGTTTGACACTCTTCCTTGAGTTTAGCCTACAAGTGGAGCCACAATCAAAAATGTAGCAGCCAGGCGTGTCTTTATCAGAATGCTGCCTCATTGACCTAACCTATTTTGGGGTGCTTCTGCATGGGGCACTTGCCAAGCTGAGCAGTTCTAGAGAGTGTGTGTGTTGCTCTTTGCTTATTCAGCAATTTGACTTGAAAATTTGCAGTATCACTTCAAATGCTCTAATCAAGCATTTGAGGCAATGGCTGGCCTTAGTGATGCCATGCCAGGAATGAGCACCTGTTGGCCTTTCTGTCTAACAGTGCTGATGGTGTTTGTTGTAGCCAACAGTGTAAAAGCCAAGGAAAATGAATTAAAAGACTTCTCCTCTTGAAAACTCAGCAAAATGGGCACAAGTTATCCTTTTAGAAACACTGGTTTCTCTTTGGCAAGGCTTTTCAAATAAAAAGAAAAAGAAATAATTCTTACACCATTTGGGGCAGTATTCAGGTAACTCCTTATGGGGATTGTCATATCATGGATCATTTGGGAATATGTGTTTTTTAGTATGTATATATTTTCTTTTTGTCTTGTTGGTTTTGTTTTTAAACAAGGAGTTGGAACATGATTAGGTAACATAGCTAGGAGATACTGTCAGTCTTTTACCTTGACACATTATTTCCCACTGATTTTCTGTGTTTCAGAGATCCCTATCCAGTCAACAGCTTTCCAGTTGTCGAGTTCCTCACTGAGACATGTAAACTATTCCTTGTCCAAACATACAAGCTTGTGTGGGCACCTGTAGTTTAGTCAAATAAGATGCAGTTTTTCCCTGCCAAACATTTCTATACCATTATCCACCTCACCCTTTTCTCACTGCACAAGCAAAAAAAGATGTTTTTCCTAGAATGATGATTTATATAGATGCCTGAAAAACCTAATAGGCATTTCCAATTGTTCTCTAAATGCAGAAGCTAACCTACAAATCCCAGAGAGTGACAACTGTACAGATAAGTGGCTTTTCCCCAGAACAGACCTTGTTTTATTAACTTTCCTGTTTGATAGCCAAATTTTGTGCTTCAGATAAGTCCAAATTCTTAATATCTGTTTCCACTAGTAGAGTGAAGGGATTTAGTGTTCTGGACAAAGCACATTCCCAGTATAAAAGTAGCACAGGACACTCAAGCTGGCCATATTGCATAGCTATCAGTGCTAGTACAGACATGACTACAAATGTCACCCGTGAAAGATAAGAGCAGCAATTTTACAGGAAAGATACAAACATCTTCCTTTCATTCTAGCTTTGAATACAGTTTCTGTGGGATTGCTGTCATTTGATAACCCATCAACTGTCCAAATCAGAACATGATGTTCTGAAGTGAGAAATATGTAGTCTTTCTCACCACCTTTCATTTTCTGTATTCTACTTTTTAATCTGACATTTTTGCACTTTCCAGAACTTTAGAAGAAGATACAATTTACTATTTTTGTGCTATGCAAGTAAAGGAATCTACTGTATTTATTGACTGCTTTTGCACTATCACACTGATGGCAATCTAGACAGCAAGGTTGGCTAGGTCATGTAGAAGGTCTCTTGACACCAGTGAAATGGCTGTTGCAAAGGAAGTGAAACCCTTTATATGAGCCTCAAAAGGGGTGAGGAACTTGGCTGGGGAACAAGGCAAGCTTCCTTTGGTGGGAAAAGCTTAGAGCTTTAATGAAGAGCTTTTTAGGTCTGTACCAAACGTACACAGTAATGATGTGAGAATAAGAAAATTTATGGTTTGGAATGTTATTCACAAGTTTGGGTAGACATGGCAGTATGCAATTTAGTGAAGAAGGCCTCTCTGTATGAAGTGTATAGTGATTGATTCAGACAAAGCTATTGAAACTAGCACGCCAATGCACAAATACATTTCCAAGTCCTTTCACTTACAAATCAGATAAATCAAATCTCTGGATCCCTTCTTTCACTGACAACCTCCAGAGCTTGAAGTTACTGGGCTGATAGCCATGCTGGAATCAAACTTACACTTATGCAGTCTGCAAATTGATGATTGCCTAACTGTTTTGAAAATGTCGGTGTCCAGCTGTGTATTTTATGTAGATAGTAATACGAAAAGGCTTTAATCAAATTACAGAATAGCCATATGAAAAAAGGAACTTTTTTATTTAATCTTTGCTTTCATAGCAAGGTTGGCAAGCCAGGATAAACTGATAACTAATCGAATAATAGCATGGTAATTTGCACACACCTGCTGCCAGAGTTGTAAATTCTTTCCTGTATACTTACACAGATGTTTTAACCAAAACACAAAGTTTGTTGGTATCAGTGTTCAGTTATGTATGTGTTTAATTATTTCTGGTGTTGTAGAATAAGACTAAGAGAACTTTTCAATTTCAAAAATGTTATTAATCTGCTTGTAACTTTGACTTCACACAAGTTGGAAGTAATTAATCATGCAAATACTTCTTTTAATACTATACAATCTTCATAATTAATACTGTATAATATTGTATGTCATTTTTACTGTATAATACTGTATATTGTGATACAGTATTATAGTGCTATTATATAATGCCACATAATATTAATACTTACTGCCCTATTGGTCACTGCAGATTTGTTTTGAGGCCAGATTAAAAAATAAATTAACTGTTTGGTAGCTTTAGAAACCAATGAGCTACTTTTTATAGAGATACACCAGAAAATACTAATATCTGTAGGAGAAGAAAAGGGCTCCTAAAATAAATGCATGCAGAGGTAAAGAATCAACCTAATATATTGAGTAGTTAATTCAATTTGGAAGTTGCTTTGTTTGCCCTAAAATTACTGAACATACAAAGCACTATGGAATTATTGAGATATGAATTTTGCAGCAATCCTCAGTTCTTTGAGGGGAGAAGACTGTTACTGTCTTGCTAAACAAGTGAATGGTTTTCTTTGAAGGTAACAAGCACAATTTGAAACTGTGAAATGTATCGATTTATACTGAAGAAAATGTATATTTTCTCATTGGCTGTTGTAACTGAATTAAGAACAACGGGGCAGTAAAAGGCTCCAAAAATGAACTCCAGAATTATCATCTTAAACTATGAAGCAACAGTGAGACATGGTGAAGTACAAATAGATATGTTGTTTTTTTGTCAATCTTCTGTGTTCACTTTGTAAAGGTGGAAATTTTCCATTTTATTTGGTGTTGTTCAGAAAATTCCTGTCTGCTTTCTTTGATGTAATGACCTCCCAAAGTCTTTCCCATCTTTCATTACAGCGTGTAATGTTTGGTATCTGAATTCTGTGGAGATGGAGTCCCTCACAGGCTATCAGGCAGTACAGAAAGCCTTGAGTTTGACGCTGATGCAAGATCCTTCTCCCATCTCAACTGTTGTCCATTTCAAGGTGTCTGCACAGGGAATCACACTGACAGATAATCAAAGAAAGTAAGCAAAAGAAGAATGGGGAGAGAGTATCTGTCCTTGTCTCCAACAAATGTCACTTGCTGTTTTTCCAGTTATTTTCTGCAGTCTCTGTTTCAGAGACTAATCATATATTAGGAGACTACAGAGTATCATTAAAGACTAAATCATATATTAAGATTGCATAAAGAACAACAATGTTTGCTATCCCTCGAGGTTGCCAGAAGCCTGCAGTACTGGAGGATGAATATTTTAAGATGTAGGCATTTCTTCCACGTGGCAGTTTCTGTCTCTGGAAGGTTACTTTGCCATGGCATTTTTTTCATTGTAGTTATTTTATAGAAAAAGGGAAAGTAATGCCTTTGGAGCATTTGATACTCAGTCTATTCAGTGAAGTAATTTATCTTCACAGTAATTTATCTTCACAGTATCCTTCACCAGTATAACTGAACAGAGCTGGACTGAGCAGACACTGTGTATTGCCAGTATTTGAAATAGCGCTTTGGATAGCCTAGTACATGTGAACTACTATGATAAAAAAATAATTTATATTCAATCTGTACTGCATGCTATTAGGGCTACTAAAAAGTATTTCAATTTGAAAACTGATCATTATAGTGGAGGGATGACAGGAAATTATTATGGGTTAAAAAAAAAAAGGCGAGACTTCCTAGTTCCATGGGTTCTAAGACCATTTGTAGCAGATCAAAGACAAAACCTTAAATCATAAAACCTAGGAATCCTTATATTTAGAAACTTAATATAATCAAATAATTCACAAGTTCCAAGAATCTGTATTTCCCACTGATATAATATATAAGCGGTTAAAAAAAGATCATACTTCTAGTTCTTTTTCTTTGCTTAAGGGTTGGATTTGTTATGGTCCAAAACTTAAAGTTACTCTTTTAAATATGGATTGATTTGGTTGGAACAGTTCATGGAGAGGGACTCTTTACCAAGGAATGTAGTGATGGGGAAAAGGTAAAAGCTTTAAACTGAAAAAGGGAAGACTTAGATGAGATATTAGGGAGAAATTCTTCCTAATGAGGGTTGTGAGGCACTGGAACAGGTTGCTGAGAAAAGTTGTGGATGCCCCATCCCTGTAAGTGTTGAAGGCCAGGTTGGATGGGGCTTTGGGCAACCTGATTTAGTGGGAAGTGTCCCTGCCCATGGCAGTGTGATTGAAATTAGATGATGTTTAAGGTCCCTTCCAAAGGAAACCATTCTATGACTCATATGGCATTAAAACTGTGACTCAGAGATAATAAAAGCTATATATTGCCATTATTAAATATAGACTAAATATGGTTGATTTTTCAGATCTGTTTATTGTTTTAAATTTTAAACATCTTAACTATTTCTAAAATATTTTATTTCCTCCTCTTCAGACTCTTCTTTCGGCGACATTATCCAGCCAACACTGTTATTTTCTGTGCCTTGGATCCACAAGACAGAAAGTAAGCAAGACAAGTACTATTTCTAATGCGTTATTTGTATTATTATCTACAAACAAACAAACAAAAAAAAACACAACAAAAACTAATGGAAGTGTCATTTTATTTCTCCTTTTTTTTTTTCTTTTATTTTTTTCTCATTTCTTTCTTATGGACGTCAAGATGGATGAAAGATGGCCTTTCTGCAAAGTAAGTTGAACCTGTCTGAGTCTCTTGTAACTGAATGTTTTAGGAATATCATTACAGTGATCAGTTTGTAAGTTTTCTAGTTACCTTTGTCACAGATGGAGAAGGGAAAGCAGAATGGTAAAACTCTTTGTCCATTGCAGTTAGACTCAATTTAGTTCATCAGCAATTCTGCAAGTTATAGACTAATTAAGTGATGGTTGGATGGTTGGAACCAGACTTAGTATGGTTTGTTTACATTGCAGGTATGTGATTTGTGTAAAGTTTCGGAAATGAAAACAGCCATTTGCTATTCAGTCGAATGTCACTTAGCCACTAAAAGTAACTGAAGCTTACTTGTTTCACATAGACTGTTGGCTTTAAAAACAAAAAAAAATCTCCCCCCCCCCAAATGCACTGGAAAAGGTTGCCCAGAGAACCCAGAGAAGTTGTGGATGCCCCATGCCCCATCCCTGGAAGTGTTTAAGGCCAGGTTGAATGGGGCTTTGAGCAAGCTGGTCTAGTGTAAAGTGTCCCTGCCTATGGCAGGGAGGTTGGAACTAGGTGATCTTTAAGTTCTCTTGCAACCCAAACCATTCTGTGATTTGGACCACTGTTTTTAGCTGTCACACAGTACATCCTTTACATCAGATGAAATATGATTTGTGCATTTGTCCCGCGGCTTTTGGTTTCTACAGTATCTTTTTTGCTTTATGAAATGAGACAGTGTCTGTCTGTTCTCTGACACAGTGTGATTGTTGCTCTTGCAGAGTATTTGGGTTTGTTGCCAGGAAGCAAGGCAGCGCCACAGACAATGTGTGCCACCTATTTGCAGAGCATGATCCAGAGCAACCTGCCAGCGCCATTGTGAACTTTGTATCAAAGGTCATGATCGGATCGCAGAAGAAGATGTAACACCCTTCCAGTGCTGACTCAAAGCTCTTCGCTGACTTCATTGAAGGAAAGTGCTGTGAGAAGAAGTCTGTTCAGCAGCAATGTTATACCCAAGAAGGAAAGCAGAGGACAGTCTCTCTGCATTATATTTGCAAGAGTTCAGTCTTTTCTTTGAAGATGACTCTTCCTTAGCAAAGCATTATTTGTTTCTTTTTATTTCAAAGGACAGAGCAAAAGAAGCTGTTTGCCACCCAAACCCATGTAGCCCATACCTGAATGAAGCATAAATGAAAAGCTTTTCTCCTGAAGGATTTCTAATATATGTTCACATGCGATTTCTCATCACTTATTGGAGCACAAATATTCACTCACTAGACTGTGCTACTTTTTAGTGCAGCAAATGTTTCATATAACCTCCACAAAGAAACTTGCCGTAGTTGCATCAATGGTAGCTATACGCCTTGCAAACACATTCTTGAGAGAATGATGGTCTGAGGAGACCATTTGCTATAGTCTTCATCTTTATGTGAATCAGTGATGGGAACTGAATGGAGGAGGGGGATAATGTATGTGAAAAGAAGGCTTGTGCAAGTTGATCTCTGCTTAGAAAGAAACAGCAATGTGGAATATTCAGGGAGATCGCTCTGTATTTAGTGTAAGCAAGGCTGGCAGTTCTAACTTGAATCGTTTTAAATAGGGAAGAGGTGGCAGAAAAAACACATCAGTTGCATGGAAATGTATTCTGTGATTTTTTTCTGTATTTTTTATACTAAGAGCTAAGGGAAGATACTGTGTTTTAATAATTGCAGGATAAAAATGAGGGAAAAACAAATAAAATTTTATAATTTATATATTTTTGCTGGTACCAAATTATTTATAGTAAATCTCAGATCTTGATATATCGTGTAGATATCCTTAAACAAGAATGTTGTGCTTTGCCCTTCAGCAGTATTTTACATAAGTAAAAGTGTGTATAGCATGTGCCTTGCTGTAGACAATAGAGTTTCATATTTTGACTTTTGTCTTACTGTGTGACAAGCTACTACCTGTTTCCATGTCTCCTTGTAATGCTATTTTGGTAGTAACATTTGTTCCCCCTTTGAATACTTATGTAAATGTTTTTTTTTAGTCCCCTTTTTATTGAACTTTTGGGGCTATGTTTTTAATTTTCTATTAATCTGTAGGAATTATTTTTATGCTTTATAGAGACAAGAGATCCAGAAGGAATTTATTTTGTTACTCTGTCCCATCTTTTGAGATCATTTGTTTCATAGTTTGTACAGCTGTCACACCTGTACATATCTTTGTATATTTTTCTAAACAAATCTGAATTTTCAATGCACAACAAAATGTTAATTAGCTTTACAGCAATGAAAAATTACAGGAAATGGATAAAGTAGGTTAGAGCGGAAATCTTCACAAGGAAGGTAAGCTTTCACTAGGAGGTCTACTGTATAATTCCCATTCACAAAAGAACAGTTCTAGACCTCCATATCAGAACTGAGCGTGATAAAGCAACTGCAGAGTAACAGTACTGAAAGTTTCATTGCCTCTGTTTCTTTCATGTGTGGTTGTCAACATTACGTTAATGACCTAAGGTTTAAAGTGACTTGCTGAATTGAGCGTACTGGATGCATGAGGCACTGGGTTAACTAGTAACTGTATCCACTTTGTGTATTTAATCCTGTCATCCTCTTTTCCTAAATAATGGCTAAACCAAGTGGAAAACACTAGGCTGTATGGTAAGAATGTTCCACCAATCTGAACTATGTTTGTTGTACGTTTATGTAATGTACACTTGTATAAATGACGATCTGTTTTTCATTAATAGCTTTCTTCCTAATTTCCCTGATTTATCAGGACCATGGAAACATTATTGAGTGACCACAGCAAAAAATACTACCAAATTGTTTAGTTAACAGTTTTGTATAAATAACTGTATTGGAGGTAGGGTGGGGGTGGAGGATGGGACAGAAAAGACAGGTTAAGGATTTGAAGTTCAATGTATTTGGACTGGGAAGTGGCGTATTAGTAACAGTGGGCATTGGATGTTGCAGAAGGGTGAAGCAATCCAAAGCATTGTAGCTACCATTGAAGCAACAAAGGCAAGTGCCACTGATCTTTACCAAATAATTCTGTTCTTCTGACACAGAGGTATTAAATGGTGTTTATGTACTATCCACGCTATTTAAATGGTGTTTATGTACTTTCCAAAAATGCGGTTCTTATTTCTAGGAACTTTGATTCTTTTGAAATGTGGGAAGTTTCCTTTTAGTATTCTTCTGGTGTAGCAAGAACTCAATTGCCTAATCTAGTCAGCCAGCTGGAACCCAGTGAATTTAATCAGCTGGCATCTCAATTAGATTGTCAGTTTTCCTAGTAGAAAAATTTTATGCAATAAATCTGATATGCTGTAAGCATTCAAATGAGAAGGAAATTTTTATATTTTTTCACTTTTGTAGGTGACATTTAAATTTCAGCGTGTCTTATTAGACACCAAGTGTTGGCCTTTGGGCTGAAAATATAGCATAAGTTTTCCCCATATATTGTCATTTCCATTTGAGGCTTTATTTTTTATTCCTAATGTGTTCTTAAGGCCTGCTGAATTCAGGAACATGAGGAAATGAATGCTGCCACTCTTGGTGGTGTTTTCTGGGAGTTCAGATCTATTTGGTAAGTAGGAAAAAGAAGTTGCCCTGTTTCTAAGGGAGTTTTTCTATTATGCATTCCTTTGGATGGTAAATTGTCACATGCTTTTGCTTTTTAAAGAATTAAAAATTGCAGAAAGCAAAACAGTTCAGTATGTACCATTGTGTAGTGTATGTAGACGGATATTCATGAAACTTATGTTCATGGCAAATACAAGATGAAATAATTAATACAGCACTTGCTTTCCAAGGTTTTTGGTAGATGTGTATATGCAGTTTCATGACTAATGCCAGCAAGTTGACACATGTATTTAGCCAGGCTCCTATTAACCTGCTTATTAAATATACTATTATCTTACAGTGTTATACTACAAAAATACTAAGTGTCATGTTTTTAATTACATGGTTCCCATGTATCCAACATTATCATTAAAATTTTATGTTTCCTTCTTGTATTTACCTTCTAAAATAGTGATTTTTGGGGTCTTTTTCTTCAAACTGTAAAGCAGCAAAAGGTCTCCAGTATGTAAATGAATGTTCTATAAATTCTTTGTATAGTCATTTTCTCTTTTCTTCAGATATTCAGATTATAATAAAATTATGAAAGTGAAATTGCACAATACAATGTTACAGGACAGTCTGTTCTAAAAGAAAATTACTTTCTTGCATTCAAAACCAATTAACGACAGAAATCTTGAAGTGAGAACAGGCTGCATGCAGAAGTAAGGGTGTAACTTTGTTTTTTACAGATTTCGTTCAGGAATCTGACTCCACAAAATTCTGTGGAGTCTGAGTTGCTCAAGTCTAGTCAGATCATGTGATTTTCCTAGATCTTTTGCTTTTAAAATAATACAAAAGTGCCTTTTGCCTGCATTGCGTATTTCATTATAAGAAGGAAGAATATATGATATCACCTTCTGAGATGTCTGTACCCATATAAATGATGCCTGTGTAGCCACAGTTCCTCTACCGTGACTACACTGGAAAAACTTCCAGAGAAGTGGAGGTTGGGAGGTGTGGGTGGGTGGATTGGGGGTACCAGTATCTAAGCCCTGACTGAAAGAGTTCTCTGAGTACAAAATCTGTGCATCAGCCGCACATGCAAGGTGTTGAATTATATACATATTTTATTGGGATTATTTCTGAGAGTGATAAACTCTGGTATATCATGCTAATACATTTTTCTGTGAGGTGTTGGCTGGCAGGAATTTTTCATTAAGTATGCTTGGCTGTCATTCATTGCTACAGACCATTGTGAGGTTTATGCGTAGGTGTAACGTTAGAGAATTAATAGCAAAATCATTTATCTTTATCAGAACACATTATAAACTGGAACAGATGACAATTACACTATAGTACAGTGGATCTTCTGTGTCAGAGTCCAGTTTTCTATTGAAATTCCATTCTTGAATTCAGATATATTTGTGCACACATGTACAGGTATTGCTCCACTTTGAAGGCTGCTCTGGGGTCTCTTTGCTCCAGTGTATAACAATCTTCTTTTAATATTCATTTTAACTGTATTCATGACTAATTTACAGAATCAGAGAAATACAGAATGGGCGGGGTTGGAAGGGACCTCTGAAGATCATCTAGTCCAACCCTCTTGCCAAGCAGGATCACCTAGAGAAGATTGTGTAGGATGGCATCCAGGTGGGCTTTGAATATCTCCAGAGAAGGAGTCTCCACAGCCTCTCTGGGCAACCTGTTCCAGTGCCTCACCACCCTTCTACAGTGACTGGCTCCATCTTCTTGACACTGTTCCCTCAAATATTTATACATGTTAACGAGTGCTACCCTCAGTCTTCTGCCTCTCCGGGCAACCTCTTCCAGTGTTCTGTCACCCTCACAGAAAAGAAGTGCCCTCTCATATTCAGCCAGAACCTCCTGTGCTTCAGTTTGTGCCCGTTGCCTCTTGTCCTGTTGCTGGGCACTACTGAAAAGATCGGCTTCACCAAGGTGCTTCAATTAGTATACAAGCACTCTAGAGAGGCTCCCCCAGTGTGCTGAGTTTCCAGAAAGAGTTTTGGGATTTCCCCGTAATGGTGCCTTGTAGGCACTTCCTTGCTCACATGCTGGAGGTGACCCCACACCAGCTCTGTTTTGTTGATTTTGTGATATTTTTCAATCACATCACTTCAGGCCCTTTTGTCATCAACCCTGTCCATCACTCCCTCACAGGGCTGCTGGTAGTTCTCTTCGTATCCTCTCATTTCTGGTGTAAAGCCGTCCTTTTAAAGGCACTCATCCTACTGGAAAAAATACCTTTGCCCTGCTTAAAGAGTTGTATCCCATCTCTCTCATGCAGGCATTGATTTACAGACTGGGTCCCATGATCATAAACACCAGAACTTTGTCACTGGCACAAGCTATACAGCTAGGGTATAGAGGTGATGAGAGCAGACCCTCGGACTTCAGCAGGAGGTTTCCCAGCACCGAAACATCTTGCTGCATAGAAAAATTCTTAAAAAACAGTCTCATAGCTGAGCCCTAAACTCTCAGTCATACTCTCACATGTACCTTTGCTTTGCTCCATGTAACCAAGGCCAGTTTCCTCATCTCCCCAAAAAGTAGCTGTTAGATGAAATCATTGTTCTTGTGATCTGGTGAGAGCTCTCTCGTAACTTTTGACCTCTTTGGTCTCTTTTCATACCAAGTGCCAGGCATTTGAATTAGCAGTTAGAAGTCTGTGAAGAATTTCTTTGAGGAAATTCACTCAACATGTGCCAGTCTCTTTCCTTAGGAGGGAGCTACCTAAACAATTCCAAAAGGTGGTACTGATAATGCAGCAACAAACCAGCAGTATATGGTACATACATGCACCAAGACTTGAGGATACGAATTTGTTCATGTTAAATACGTCTTTGATCTTGCATTGTCTTGTTAATTTGAAAACATCCAGATTTGATAGTTGTTTTTATTTGTTCTTTGTTTCTTGGAGCCACTCATAACTTCCCCAGAAGCAGCAGAACAAACATGGTTTGTATCACAACTGGTAACATTTAGTTATGTTTTATGATAACATAGGACTCCTGTGACTCATTTTGTTTGAATAACTTCTTGAAGATCTTAGAATTTGCTTGCCATTTCCTCTGGTTGCTTTGTTAGATCTGGGGTTTGTCTTTATACTGGAACCTCAGTCCGGTTCACCAAGAGGCATCCAGCCTCTGTATACATTTTCCTGCGTATGCTGTCTCACAAAGTCCTTTTGTAAGAGCTGCATTCTTGGTAAGATTATGCAAGTATGTCTTCAGACTTATGCAATGTGTTGCTAAGCTGTAATAGCTAAGATTTTTAGAAAGTGATGGAGAGAGACAGAATGTTTGAAATGTCTGGAACCACCACAGAAGAGAAACAGTACAAAGTGCCTCACAATATTTTGTTTAGCAATGTTTGTTTGTTTATTTTTTAAGGGGTGATGAATTTTTTATTCATCAGGTATGAAAATATAGGCTCCTGCATCAAAAATCCAGTCTGAAGTTCATGTCAATAAACTAAAATAATATGCTAGATGTTGGCAAATGCCTTGAGGACAAGGTCTGTAAGCATTAATACTATGTTAAATTTATGAATTGCTCCCATGATTTCTGAGGGGGTAGTAGAGGTGTAGGGGTATGCATCTGAAAAATCAAGACCTTTGTCTACCTTTACCCACTCCTCCTGTGTTTAATGTCAGTAGCTGAGACTGAAGGTTTCTGGAGTTTTTCGCACTCTGTACATGTTGGGCAGATTCCAGAGCTGTTTAGAGTGATGGATTTTAACCAGTTTTTAACCAATCATAGTTTTAACACATTCCAATTTCACTCATATAGTCTGAATGTATAATTGTGTGTGTGTATACCACTTGGCCCAAGAATAGGAGAAATATTTGTCAAAACTTTCTGAAAATTAACCAACTTGTCCAGTATTCCCTGATATATCTCCAGGATATGATCTGGAAAAATAGATTTATCATTTTTTTTGCCATTTCTGAGGACTAGCAGGTTTCACTAGCAGCTGAAGCTGGCTAGGGAGGGCTGTGCTGCAATAGCCATTGGGCATGAGCACATGGGTTCTCTGACCCATCAGAGGAGGACATTAAAATAAAGGATGTTTTATATTAAAAAAAATAAATAAATAAAAAGGAGAGTGGAGAAACTTGGCCTTCCTGTTGTATTCATGTCAGACTAGAGGACATGAGACATTAATAAGGTTGTAGCCCAAGCCACTGATGCTTCTGTATTATGACTGCTATTATCACGCTCTCCAGATATTTCTGTGCTTTCATTTGAGGTCCAAGCTTCTCCCAAGGCTAGGCTCAGCATCAGCATTTGATTCCCTGGCTGAGCAGCTACCCTAGCCAAAGAGTACTGAAATGTGAGAGCCTGGGCACCACCAATGGCTCAAAGTTTCACCTGCACTGAATTTTGGCATCATGGGAGGGAGTACTGCCTAGTCTGCCTGCCTGAGTCTTAATCACAGCATGGTGCTTTTAAACCAAGGTGCAACAGACTGTGTTAAGAAGTGTATGGATTTATGGGGATTTGTGCACTTAAAACTTTAAAAAACGTAGTCACTCTCCACAAGGTCCTTTTGGCTGTGCTGAGAGAGAAAGCAAACCATGCCTAGAAAAGGGATCTAGCAGCCAGCTGTGCTGTGGAAAAGCATGTTTGGGTGTAGGAAAGAAGGGGGCTGCAGAATTTCCAATGTTTTTTGGAAAATGGAATGTAGTGAAAAGGGGAAGTATATGTGGAGTTTTAACCTCTTTCTTTTAATACCATAAGCATTGCTAGTTCTTATTATATTACTCTTGTAAACTTATGGGTGGCTAAAGATTTTCCTTTCGTTTAGGTCAATGTAATAGAGTTAATATAAGAAAAAAAAAAAAAAAAAGAAAAACTTCCTAAAATACATTGGGAGGCCATGTAAAATACATTGGGAGGCCATGTAACAGGCCACTGAGGAAAATATAAGTGACTTAAGAGACTTTCATTGTTGACAAAAACTACTGTCCCTGAGGACTGAAAAATAATGAAGACTCAAGAAATCATAAGGATGTCTCAGAAATTGTTTTTTTATCCTATTTATTTATTTTATTGGCTTTGAATTTTCAAGAGTTCTTCAGTGTTAGAAACATGCTTATTTTTAAAAATGAGAGCTCAGCTTCAAAGTTCCAGGACTTCTATGGCAACACAAGGCAAAGTGCCCTGAGACCTTTGATAACAGCATGAGTGTCTGCAACATTGTATATGGAACTGCTTACAGGATACCTACAATATACACTGCAACTCAGCTTGTATTTCCTCTTCACATATCTGTAAACTCCACTGTGGACCTGGGTGTGCCTGAAGAGTGTCAGGGTAATGACTCTGACTTTCAAATTATCCCTGGAATTTCTGGTCCTGTGAATCAGGCATTCCCTTTTTGCAAGCTCTTCTGTCAAATATTGACAATTGAAAAAAAAATCAATAGAAGTTTTGATATATATTTTTTTGCTTTATTGTCTCCTCCTGATCTGACCTATTTCTTATCTTCTGGTGGGGGACAAGGAGAAATGTTGGGAAAGAGCTGTAGCTTATGCAGCTCACAGTAAAACAGCCTCATGGGGATGCATGGGCAGCTCCTAGGGAGCAGTTTTTTC